GGCGCATAGTTCAAGTTAGAAATGACTTCAATTTTTTTTCCTCCGTATCCGAACGTCACCAAGAAACAGTACTTCAGTATTTACTGACATTATTACTGATCCCTTTACTTTAACAGCTACAAACCCTTGTTCTGCTGATCATGGCTGCGAACACGTTTGCTTCAAGGGAAGCAGCGGTGAAGCAACTTGTGCTTGCTTTGCTAACTACGAGCTGGACAGCAATAGAAAGAACTGCATAGGTAAACTGTTACTTTTTTCTTTAATCTTGGGGACTTAAAAGTAGATCGTTCTCAGTGTTTTCTTGAAGCTCGAACCAAAAGAAGAATTTTAAGAGACTCTGGAGTGTAGAACAAGTGATTTATAGATTCATTTAACACAACGCGTGTGCTGCAATAAGGTACACACGTTCCTGCTTTACGGCCACTTGTTACCTAAGGCCAGGTTGTTCAAATGTGGGTTAAGATAACCCTCAGTTACTGTGAAATTTGATTCAAGATCTGAAAGCTGTAAAACAAAATTCAGTTTAATTCCAATTGTTTACAATTTGATGATTGAATGCTCTAACAAGAATTGAGAAAATTTTTCGCTTTTGAACAGAGAAATATAGAAACCCGGATCAAAATGTAACCCTGGGTTAGCACTAATCGACCTTGGAATAACTTGGCCTAATTTGCAGCTAATATCAACCGTTCCGAACAACGAATAGTTATTTGAAATGTTAAAATACATTATAGAAGCACCATCTAAAGCCTACTGATTATCTTTGTACTTTTCTCTCTGCAGATGTCAACGAGTGTGATCTGGCTAAAAAACTCGATCGGTGCAATCAGATTTGTACAAATACTCCAGGAAGTTATGTGTGTTCGTGTGAAAAGGGTTTTGAACTGAAGAAAGATGGTTACGAATGTGAAGGTAATCGTCTAAATTCTACTCAAGTTAAATTGGTGGCTATGATGTGTAAGAATGAATGTTTTTACAGACGAATAACCTTTTGAAACTAGCTTTTGCTTTAACCAATAAATGTAATCGTGTTTGTTATGCAGATATCAACGAGTGTGTGAATGAGGACTTGTTCAACTGCACGGATGAGTTTCACAAATGCGTCAACACTCGTGGCTCTTATAAGTGTGATTGTGAACAAGACTTGTACTTTATTGATGGGAAATGCAGAGGTATTTGATAATTTTAGACGAGTATTTCCTGGAAGTTGGGGTATAACTTGGAACAATATTCTGCTTTTGGTTTTTTTATACTTTACAGCTGAATTTTTAGCTCGATATTTAATGTGACTTTCCTGGACGAAGCCACGTGTAAATTGAGTTAAGGGAAATTTGACCCCAGGAGCTTGAACAATCGAACGCACATTGAATAATTCCAGAGAAATCAAGTAAAATAAATCAGAATGTTTATCGGAATCAAGCGATACAGGAAACGGGATGAAAAAAAAAGAACTTGTAC